CCCCAAAACCCCAAAACCCCAAAACCCCAAAACCCCATAAAAAGTAAGCTCAATTGAAAATAAAGTTATTAAATTGAAAATCATCATGGATGAGAAAGGAACTCTTGATAGCAGTAAGCCAGAACTCTTAGATAGTAGGTATTGTGTTCAGCAAAATGAGCTTTTTGTCTACAAAGAATCCACATAAGGTATGAAACATTTTATAAAGAAAATCCAATCTACTCTAGGCTTTACATTTTTAGAAAACTAATGCTCTGAAAATTATACTGTAGTTTTCATAATTATTAATATTTCTACAGGGTGATAGTACTACCAAAAAGTATCTTAGAAGTCTTGATAAATCAAATGTATATTTCTTGGTAACTTTATAGGGAGATTATAACGATTCAAATTCCATATGCCTCCAATTTATTAAGAATCCTAATATGAATTCGGTTAAACATGGTAGGCCTAGACCAGGAATTTCAAATACGTTAAACAGAAGAAATAAGAGTCTGAACAAACCGATCCAGGATTTTCAGACCTTGGCTGCTGTCCTTGAAAACCCTGAGGCTCATAACTTCGGTAGAAAAACTGGATCTAAATCAATGGCGAAGCACTTTGACAGATCAAAAATCTCTATTTTCAAGTAAGCTCAAATTTTATCCTCCACAGTAAAAATCTCACTCATCAAAATTTCTAATTCCCTTCAACCCCCTAAACACCCTCTTAGCCCCTCTAGAAACCCTCGTCCAAAGTACACCACCACTCTCACCACCGATGAAAGTACCCTCTCACTAACCCCTAGAATAAAATCTACCTAAAACTCAGCAAATCCAATCAAAAACTCCACAGGCGGTCAAAAAGCATCCAAAAATTTTCATATTTCAACCCAAAATAAATCCTATTCCCACAAACCACCCAACACAGCAGCACAAAAATCCCAAAATTTCCACGCACAAAATTTCAAAAATTCTAAAAAATCTAAAATTTCTTCCCATTGTCCTTCTTCTTCCAGTCAAAATAGGAATTTTTAAGATATTTCAGAAACTTAGGAAGATAATGAACACAAGAGTGGATGAGGAGGATGAAAAGGTCTTTTTGAGTAAATATTTTAAGGCGGCTAAGAGTCCTTTGTTGGAGTATTTTACAGATTATGGTACTGGAATCAAAGGCAAGAAGCAGGTACAAGAACTGGTCAAGGACGGAGATAAATTATATCAGTGCTGGAATGAACTGAGCGAGGGAAGTAGTGATGAAGGAAATATTGGAGATTATAGGTCACAGACTTATGGTAAGAGGTGGTGTAATTGTAGATGTTACGCTTGAGGGCGATGAAGAGGTGAGGGAGTCGGAGAATGATTATATGAGTCAGCATGTGAAGATGGTGCCGATGGACCTGAAGGAGGATAAGAATGAGATTTTGGCACTTAGGACGATGAATAGGTTCAAAACTACATTTAATAAGTTTAAAAAGGTAATTGACTCAGGGAGAAAAGGGAAGCCCCTTTTCCAGGACCTGTGCATGGTTAACAAGAAGACAGTGTTGATGAGAGCTAAGAAGATCAGAAATAGAGATTCTTCATATGATAATTACTAATTTTTCTAAAAGATTGCTGAAATTTCAAAACTTTTTAGTGAATGTTGTTGATGAATTATGGAATAACCCAATCTCAGGCTGTGGGCTTCATGTTGTTCTCTTTAATTTTCTTTTGCTTTTCAATATATTGTTTCATTATCTCCTCTTGCTCCTCCTCTTCAGTCAGTTTTGGCTTTGGTTTAGAACAACAAGCTGTTGATTCTCCATGCTTGTGCTCATCCTCATGATTACTCTCATTACCAGGATCCGCTGAAAACTTATATCTATAATTAGTAATCTGTTGCCATGACATTTTGCTTAATTTATTTGTAATTTTACTAGCTTCATTGAAGCTTCCATTAGTTCCTTTCTTACATATAAAACAAGTCTTATCAGTTCTATAATGTTTCAGAGCTCAGCTTTCACAGAAATAATGTTGGCATTCAGTGATTACAGGTTCCTTGAAGTAGTCATTACATATTTTTCATTTGAGAGGCAAACCTTCATCATCAATATCCTCTCACTTAGTGCTTATATTATCATCTTCAGAGTCAGATATGGCATGATCACCGTATTTCTTGCCCATTAACTTCTTATGTAACTTCCTTTGCTTATTATTCCAATCTTTCTCAAGTTGGTGTCCTGATGCATAGTCTGTTCTATCATGGATGAAGATGCAAGTATCTCCGAAAGCACAGTGTCCTGTTTCAAAGTAGTCTTTACAAAGTTCTGGATTATAGTCTATTCTAGCACTCTCTTTTACATAATTTTCCTTCTTTGTTGGGCCAAGAGTTCCGTTAAATTGCTTCTTCTTTAGATCTTCCTCTGTTCTATCAAAGTAATTAGCGTATCCGTGCTGCCCTCTGTAAACTTTGGGATCTAGCGTTCCTTCTTTGATCTGCTTACTGATCTCTATTCTTCTGAGTTCCCTTTCATAAGCATCTTGGTTGAGTTCTAGCTGAGCTAAGTCAACATTGTCAAGCTCTTCAGTGTCTTGGATTCCAGATTCAAGATTCCTGTTCGCTTTGAAAGTAGACCCACTCATTTTGATTTCCTATCAAAAGGGTTAAAATCAATATAAAAGAAGACACATACCTCGTTCTTTTGATTCCAAATTTTCTGTTTCTTGACTTTCTCTTCAGCCGTGGAAGCTGCGATACATCTTTTACTATTAATTTCCTCTTGTTTCAATTTCTTAAAGTTAGTTAGATTAAGTGGCTCTTCTTCGCTAGAATTTGCTTTCTCTTCCTCTTCAGTAATCTTGATCCTTTTCGATGCCTTTTCCTTCTTGTTCTTCTTTAATTTCCTCTTCTTGAACATCTTGGAAATATTATTATAAATCAATCTTTGGGTGAATTAATGGGGTTTTGGGGTTTTGGGGTTTTGGGGTTTTGGGGTTTTGGGGTTTTGGGG